ACATACCTGTAAATATTATATTCCATCTCTGCCTATAGATCCTCCTAAATGTTACACACTGGACCTTTAAGTAGCAGATCTTGACCTCTCCAATGTGACAACCCTGCAGACGCACATCAAATCGAGAGCGCAGTATCTAAGTTTCTATATCTATTAGTACTCAGCAACAGCACAGCTCAGAGTCAAATGTAAAGTACACAGTAAAAGACACAAACGTGAAGCTTATTTGACAGAGAGCCCTCAGCCTTATTCCCACATTGAAACAAAAGGGGATTAGAACCCACCCACCACCCCTGGAAGTGAGTCATAGGATAGAGGTCAATACCAGCTTTGGTGGTACGGACAGCCATGTTTTCTAGTGAATAATAGTGTGAAACAAAAACAAGTTTGGGTAAGGCTCGCGTCCAGGCAAATTAAGATGTAGCTCATTGCTGGTGTCAGAATTGTATGAATAATATAGTAGAAACTACATTTTTGCTGGCGGCATTGGCTCACAAAACATCTGGTGTGTGGTGTGCACATTTAAACACAGGACTCTACGAAGCTTAGTACAAATTAATATAATATTACAAATAAGAAAACCACCAGATAAATGAGGGATTATTCACTGTAGTGCTTTCATGCAAAGAGCTTAATTATTTTCCTCTCATTTCCATACAAACACAGAAGCACACTCACACTTTTGGCAGCTGCGTTACAAGGTGGAGGCCTGACCATCTGATGCAAATTTGGGTTCAGTGTCGGAGCCGCTGATAAAATCACCAACACTGCGAATAGTGCGTGACCTGCTCTACCACAGACACGCAACAGCCAAATGGTATTTTCTGTTTGGGACAGATGGGAACATGATCATAAGTTAACTACGATTATACTGTTTTAATTACCTCATCGTTCTTTCTTACAGAGCTGCAAGATGGCGAGTACAGCGGTTGCGACTCCAGACTCCGCCCAGGATAAATCCAGTTGCATTTATTTAGTGACCTGGGTCAACGACCTGCTGAAGACCAACTTTAAAGATGTGCAGGAGATGGGTTCAGGTCAGTGTGAACAGAACTAATGCAGCTTTTGTTGTAGCCCGCTTTGCTCCTGCGTCTGTTGATACCTGCAGATATAAACTTTATTTTACTCTTAAGTGATCGATTTATAGCCGCATTACAGCTGTAGTTGAGCTATGTGAAGTAACTGCTAATTTCCTGCTGTTGCTTCGTATTAAATGAGGCTTTTATTGTGAAGCAGCCACAGGAAATGCAATGCATTTATCACCAAAAAAAAAATGGTCTAGACCACAGTTAGAGGTTCAGTCGTCAACAAGCAGAAACACCCACAGTGAGCTGTTGAATCTGTGTTGTACACATTTGGTCTATTAAACTATAAGAGTGTTCTTTTTCTGAGACTTTCTGAACGGTCTTTTATGTGTCTATGATCCTACAGGTGCGTGTCACTGTCAGATCATGGACTTGGTTTTTCCTGGGTCTGTTGACATGACCAAGGTGAAGTTTGATGCACAAGGTGAGGATGAGTGCAAGCACAACTTCAGTCTCCTCCATGAGGCCTTCAGCAAGAAGGGTATCACAAGGGTATGCACTGTTTCTCTAGTAGAGTAGCATTACAGTTCCTTTCTTCTTGTTTTTATTTCTCTGTTGTTTTGTATAAGGAATTAGTTTCCAATATCGATCCGTTATGAGTAAAACAAATTATTTGCCAATGTGTTCACATTCCTGAGTCCATAAAACAGTTTATTAATGATAAGATTATATGTAGCCACGTGTCTCAACTGGCTGTCTGGCAACCGTGCAGCTAGACAAAGACAACAGTAAGTCACTGCTCCAGGCCAAAAGATAATTCCAGCATGTAACTCCCCGAAAAAAAAACACAATTTCTACATTTCTATTTATGTACAGATTGTTGAGGAAAGGGAATCTCTTTAAACCCTTATCCTCGCGTGTTCTTTAATGAAGCGATAGGAGAAGATAAAAATAGATTTATTCTTAACAACCAGTAGACATGTGCAAAGTTTAGCAGAAGCCTGGGTCGAAATCCCCTAAGCATCAGCAACAAAGTGTGTGTCAGTTCACGAAGTCTGAACTACTATCTCTTCCTGGCCCAGTGTGTTATAGTCCATCAGTGAGAAACGTCATAGTAAGGCGTTGTCTTCCCATCCGCTGTTGACGTCTCCCCGTCCTCGTGGTATCTGACTCCAATGTTTATCTCATCAGCTGTTTGACGTCTCCTCCTCCTCGTCCTCGTCCGGGAAATCTGAAACTTACATAAACTAGACAATACGCCTGTTACTAGGCCTCTCTGTTTCTTGAAAGATTCTACTATTATCTATTACTTCCACATGTAACTGACAACTTATCATTTCATATATGGTTGTTTTGCATGATTATAGTGGCGCCCTAAATCTCAGGATCCTGGATTTCCGGGCTGCAGGGAGAAACTGCGGTTAGCGTGACCCTAATCATTGGTCATATGACAGATATAAAACATAACACATCTTCAAGATCAAACAAACAAGTTATAACATGTTAATCAATGAGCTTTGGTGGCAGAGAGAGCCAGGCTAGCTGTTTATAGTTTTAGGCTCTCTGTAATGTTTTGTTTGGGTGTCGATCTTATCATTTAACTCCAGGAAAAAAGTATATTCCTAAAATTCCTATTCCTTTAGCTTTACCTAATCAACTACACATCATTGCCATTGAAAAATCTGGACCTATCACAGGGAATTTTCTTTGAATCACTGGTTTCAAATGCACTATTTGGTATGAAAGAATATGTATTCAAGTTTAGGTGATGAATTTCCTATTTTGGAACAAGTTTATTAATTTATTTCATTTTATACTGTATCACTGTTGTTCAATGTGGAAGCTATATTTATTTTTCTGCTTTGTCTTGATTTAGGCCATTCCAGTTGAGGAGCTCATAAAAGGGGATTTTAAAAGCAACTTTGAGATGCTGAAGTGGTTCAAAGCTTTCTACACAGAAAATGTCAAAAGTGAGGAATACGACCCCGTGAAAGCTCGGCGCAGCCATGATATAACCCCTATCGCGGCATCTCCCCAATCGCGTAAATATAACATTTTCTTTCTCTGTGATAGTAAAATGAGGCAGTGCATTGTGTTTTGATAATCTCAATGACAGTAATTGGCTAATAACATTTTTTTTCTCTTTATCAGAAAAAAAATCATACACTAAAGAGAACGGCAATGGAACAACCAAAACGATATACCCTTACACCGAAAAGTGGAAGGTTATGTTTGATTGGGCCGACCGCAGTACCGTCGGAGAGCAGTATACCTACTGCCGCTCTTGCGAAAGGAACCTGAGCACGTTTCATAAAGGCATTTTCGAACTTAGGCGACACATGGAAACAAACAAACACAAGAAAAGGTCTAAAATGTCCAAGAGAGCCTGTGAGCCACTGCCCTGTAGCGACGCAGCTATTCGCTTCATTTACAAACACTGTTACACCGGCTCGGCAAAAGGTGAGCAGGTGTCAAGACAATTCGCACGCTGTAAGCTGGGGTTGAAATACCCCAAAGATATCACATCTGTTTGCCAGCACACTCCTTACTGTCTATATGTTTACGGAGGGGTAACACTGGGAAACGATGACACTGTCTCTGTGGTCCTTGTCGGGTTTTTTGATGTCGAAGCCTCGCAGCACTGCATCCGATTTCTGGATGCTCTTCAGTCAGTGGGTGGTGCAGGAGATGAAACAGCAGCAGCGGTGGTGGAGACCTTGAAGAAATTCGGGTTACCCACAGATAATCTTGTCGCTGTTTATTCTGGCAGCAACGGTGCGGCCTCAGAGCAGATCTGCTCGCAGCTCAGGGAACTGAATCCGAACATTGTAGCCTTAGGAGGGCTGTACACCATGGCTGATGCTGCTTGCCATGCTGGCGTTAAGGAGCTCTCCAATCAGGCTCAAGGATTGATGGCGGATATCCATGCCTACTACTCCTCTTGCTCTACTAAGAACAACCACCTCAGGGCTCTTTTTGGCTCCGACGTCAGTGCGGACAGTCCATCATTTCATCTCAGCACCAGCTGCCTTAAGTTCTGCCTGTTTGTCACAAAAATCTTGGAAATATGGACAGATCTCATATTGTACTTTAAGTCTTGTGACGATGACAAAGCCAAGTTAATCTGCTCCCAGCTGCAGGATCCCAAAGTCAGGGCAACATTTCTGTTCCTGGAGCAGTCCTTGAAGCCTCTGCACATTTTCCAAACACATCTGCAGACACAGGAGGGAGCTGGCCGAGCTGATATTCTGCTCATCCTAGAAGAAGCCTGTTGCCTGCTGTGCACCTACACCTCCTACTCCCTGCATCCTCAAGCTGCTGTTCGCCTGTTGAGCTCTGAACTCTGTCCGGGTGGGAAAGTTGTGGAGGACTTCCTGAAAGAGTCTGAGGCTACAGATGCACTGCCCCTGTTAAAAGAACAAGTGTTGTCTTTCTACGTCGCACTCACACGTTGCATTGCGAGCGAGCTGCCTCTCGGCGAGGGGGCACTAAAGAGCATAGCTCAGCTGCTGAACCCCCAGAGCAGGCTAAAAGTGACAGGGAAGTCGGTAGGGGAGCTTGGGACCAAGCTGGGTATCTGCAGCTCCCCTGAGGAGGTCAATCAGCTCACAAGTGAATTCCTTGAGTATCAGCTGGCTGGGGAGGGAGAGGGTGAAGATGGAAAGAAGGAAAACTCAACAGAGGTGTCACTGGAGAAACACTGGGCCACCGTACTGAAGGACACCAAGCAGACCTCAAACTTCAGAAAACTTGTTTTGACCCTGTTGTCTCTCCCCTGTCCTCCACTTGAGGCTCAGCAGGTTTTCACTCAGGTGTGTAAATAAAAGAGCTGCATTAACATCTTTCATCTGTCTGTGTTTGTGTTTAGTTTCCGCATCTTTAACTAACTTTGTGCACTTATTGTCTCAGGCCCTGGAGAAAGAAGATGCTGCTCTGTTCTCTGAAAGTGAAGCTTTCACTGAAAGCGAGTGTGACATCACATCCGATGGCGCTCTCTCCGACAGCACCAGCAGAAAAGACTTCCAACTTCCAGCTGAAGGTAAGAAGAAAGATAGTCCATCAATCGAACAAAGTTTAATTCTCACTTAATTTACCTATAAACCACATTTTATGGGATGATGATTTGTATGATTCACTTGATCAGAAGTCAATGCATTGGATACTGCATGTTATTTACAGATTTGTCCTATTTTCTCCCATCCAATGGCCTTTATGTGACAGTGAAGCCGTGTGAAGTCCGCCTTACAAAGATAGCTCGTAAGAAAAACCATTATAAACTTTTTTTTATTCACATAATTTACACCATTTAAAAAAAACACCTGGAATGTCATTATTATTTAGTGTCATTTGTTTTTATTTATTTATTTAGTTTTTGGGTTTTTGCCTTCATTGGGTAGGACAGCTGAAGATTGACAGGAAAGGGGAAAGGGGGGAGAGATGGGATGACGTGCAGCAAAGGGCCACAGGTCAGTCTGTAGTAAGGACTCAGCCTTGGTGCATTAAAGTGTAAATTTACTTTAAAATTAAAAGTCTTACTGTAACTTTTTGGCAGAGACAAGAAAAACCTTGTATAAGTATTTATTTATATATCCAGTTTGAAGATGTCAGAATGCCGTTATCATTATCTCTGATCTCAACTCTGAAACATACTGAAATGCTTTGTTTCTTTCATCCAAGAGCAAAAGAATGAACACTGGGACTGGAAAGAGGTAACACATTTTCTTCTCTGTTCGTCTTCTGCCTCTTAACCTCTTAAATCACCTACACGGAAAAGAAGCAACTTGGTCTAAAAAACGATAGACAGATAGGACTCAGTTGTTGCAGCTGTAATGTCCATAAATACTGTCAGCCGCCCTTAATAGTGGATAACAGAAAAACGTATTTTTGCTGCGTCATATTTGGCTTCTTTCCACTAACAGTCTTTTGCCCTTTACTCACCTTCTGGTCCTTCTCATCCTTATGACCAACACAATCACTGGTTTGTTGAGGTGCAGTTTGCCCCTCTATAAAAAAGAGTGCATGTGCATGATATTTGAGTGTGTAATGGGAGTGTGTTGTCTCTCAGGGGACCAGTAGGGGAAGTTTTGGCTGGGAGAGCAGCTTGCGCCAGAAGCCACAGGCCCGAACAGTGTTTCAGGCTGGTGCTAACAACTGGTCCAAGCCCATAGATCTTGATAAGGACAACAAAAAGGGTCCGGAGTCTCAAGTTGAGGTGGTAGGTATACTCAGGTATACTACCAGAATACCACAGGGCCATAACAGGCCTCTCTGCCCTCTGAACTACTACCAGAACAAAACAAAAACTACATACAACTAGGTTTGGAGCTTGATAGCATTCGATCAATCTGAATCCTTTTGAATCTCACATCAAATCTCGATTTAGCTTCAACAGTTTTAAATAGCAGAGGCTCTAAATAACTCCAAATAATCACGTTTTAAAGGTCCAGTGTGTGACATTTACAAGGTTCTCGGACCTTTTGCATTTTTTGCGAGTTTTACAGTTTTCTTGCCAGCGGTGTTCAGCTAGTTGCAATCTGCCACTTTGCTGCTAGATGGCATTAAAAATTAAACACTGGTCATTTAAATTGTATGGACAAAGTCTTCAGTAGACAATAATGTTGTTTATTATATACTCTGTATGTGGTTGCCTGCTAGCAGTTTGAGTTGGCACCATCAGACCTGCAGCCGCAGTAGCTTAGAAGCTCATCGACGCGCAATGTGTGGTAATTATAGCGAAAATTTAAAGGGGCCCGGTGGAGTTCACTCGTGAACAAAGAAAATGTTTACATTCAGTGTTCACTAGCACGCTTTGTGTTTCACTTCCTAATATAAGTATTTTACGTTGTTTACTTCCTTGTTTACTCACGTCTTCTTGGTAGGACTGCGTACCTTGTCACACTCATGCGCCCCCAGCTACAGAGCACTGCTAGAGGTCTAAAACTCGACAGGGAACCTTTACATTGGTTATTGGTTATTGAATCATATTTGTTCTGTGAGACAACTGAGTGATAGTGACATTAAATACACTTCCTGTTTGGTTTTTGAAAAAACGGCTATCAGAATCCAATCCTACCTCTAACACATCCTCATTTCAGATTCATCATTCGCTTTGTTCACACGGTGGTCAAATTGAAAATAAGGCAAAAATGAGATAACATATCGTCCCAAGCTTTATGCTGGCTCCCATGTTTAAATTCAATAAGTCTGAAATTGGAAAAGACCTTTCCCATGTTTGTTATTGGATATTTCCAGTTTAGTCTGATATATATATCGTATATTTCAGTACATTAAGCTGCTTTGACCAAAGCGAATGTTCATATCTTAACAATGAGGGCTACCTTGCTTCTTGTTTTTAACAAATTCTCTCCTGGGTGTCACTTGAAATTAAATATCAAAAAACAATATGGATCATCATTGTTGTTATAGTTTTCAAACAATCATTTCAATCAGTATTTTCAAATACCCAGGTCCTCCTCACATACATTTCTTCTTGCCTTTTACGTCTTTCTGTTTTAAATGTGGTTGACTTTCAGACAGAAGAGACATCACCGTCCAGTAAACCATCACCAAGAGGACGACGGAAACATGTCTATCAGGTAATGTAACAGTTAAAAAAACTCATAGTACAGAAAATGTGTTTGATTCTTATCTTCATGTGGATGAAAATGTAGTTTTGAATAATCACTTTTTCTTTTCTCTGCAGGATGGGAAAGGGTTTCAGACCGGAGAACTTGTGTGGGGGAAAGTGAAGGGGTTCTCCTGGTGGCCTGGGATGGTGATGCCTTGGAAAACCAAGTCGTCCCCGCCGGGTATGCGGAGGGTGGAGTGGTTCGGAGACGGGATGTTCTCAGAGGTTAGAAGCGCAGTGCAATGTGCTTGAGCTGCAGAAATACTTTACATGTATATATATATGTATATATACTTCAATTGTTTTTTTGCTTTTGTGTTGCAGATCTACACGGAGGGTCTTCAGGCTTTCAGTGCCTTCACCAAGTGCTTCTGCAAAAATTCCTTCGCCAGCTTGCCCATCTACAAGGAAGCCATTTTCCAGATTATTGAGGTAGGAGATTAAAAAATAATTTTACAAGATTGTTCTTCATGTCTGCTGCACCGTTCTCTTCTTACACATCCTCTGAACTCTTTTCTTGCCCTCCATTGTAACTCTATAGTATATCACACAGTGTTGTACCACATTTATTCATGGTCAAACTCAGAAAACTACAACCAAATGAGCTTGACTTTGGTCCTATAATGTTGTGTGGTTTGGTTAGCTCAAAGCTCAGGGGATCAAATCAGTTCTCATCTCATCAATATTTACATCATAATTCAGTAGTTGTCATTTTTCTTCATGATTGTGGTAAAAAAGGTCCAGGTTTACTTCCCTCAATCTTCCCTTTTATCCATTAAATGAGAGGAGGTCGGCACACAATTGTTATCGGTGCATTTTAACCTTCAATATATATTCAACACCATTCAGTTTTTTCAATTATTCCACCAGTTTCCTTCTATTCAAATGCAACCTTCCTGATATTTATTCATTCTTATCTCACTGTTGTTATGTTTCATGCGGAAATTTGGCCACAGCGGCTATTTGGCTGTTCTTTGACTTCAAATTGGATGAAATCAGAAGGTTGGCTGATTAACTGTGAACAAGCTTTTTCTCTGAAGTGTTATTTAATAATTAATGGAAATAGAGTAATGAAATATTAACTGTTTCACAACACTGATTACCTTCCAGAGAGTGGAGAGAGCATTTGGCCCTCTCAATGGGAACAGGGTCCAGAGATGTTTCATGTATCGTAGTGTCAAGCTGGTGGCTCAGAAACTCTTAGAGAATGTGTCAACTCAGTGCCAAATGTTTGTAATCTGCAGTTGGCAGGTGAGCGATGTGGAAAGTCTTTCGCTGAGGCAAAAGAAAATAAAGAAAAGGAGCTAAAGCTGATGCTGGACTGGGCCTTTGAAGGATTTCTACCTACAGGACCTGAAGGATTTGTACCTCCTGGTAGGTGCACATTTATAAACATTTACTGAATAACTAATTAGATTTACAGAAAGCCTCAGCAACTGGTTCAGGGTCTGTCTGTCTGGTTCTATTAGCAACCGTCTTTTTCTTTTTATCTCTTCAAGATGCTGCTGCACATCAAGATTCTTCTGACTCTTCTGCCCTGTCTGACTACCAGCCTCCAGCAAAAAGGAAATATGTTTTTAAAAATAAGGCAGCTGCACTTACCCTTACCTATAGCAGAGGTTTGTGTTATTTTTGTCCACATTTAGTCACCAAACCTAACAACAAACTGTTGTTTTTATATTATTATCATCATTATTTTTCTCTATTTGTGATATTTTACAGAATCAATTAGAGAAAATGTCAAAGAGAAAGGCAAAACAATTGAAGGTAAGTTGAGAGTATTGAAGTTTGTGATTTATAAAACGTCTTTGATATGAACATAAAATTCTTCATATAAAGGTGATTTGTTATTTCAGATTTTTGTTTGTCTTGTGGATCATCTGAGCCTGAAGTCAGGCACCCGTTGTTTGAAGGTGGTCTTTGTCTAAAATGCAAGGTAAACTATTAACCTGATGATCTATCTCTGTCTACTTTTATGTGGTCTGCTTTACTCCATCCCAGTCCCAGTTTGTGAATGTCTAACCTCCATCTGAAAAACAGCCGCTATTAACATCCAAAATGCTGCCAAACGGCCGTGTCACTGTTTGCAGGACAACTTCATAGAGACGCTGTATCGCTACGATGAAGACGGCTACCAGTCGTATTGCACCGTGTGCTGTGCCGGCTCAGAGGTCATTTTGTGCGGCAACGCCAGCTGCTGCAGGTAAACACTGCTGAGGTGTTATCTCTCAAGACGGCAGGCCATGTTTATTGTTTTATTTTAATATTTTTAATCATGATACACAACATAATTTAAATTTTAGAAAATAAAAAAAGAAGGTAATGAAATAACAAACCCTTTCTGATCTTATTAGCCTTGTCGCTGTCAACTTTCTCCCCTTTAAAAACATCTTCCTGTGTTTTTATTAACTTCTGTTGGGTGTTTATTTTTGTTGTCTGTACATCTTTTGTACAGATTACATTAATAAGTTATTGTTATTGGCTTTTTGCTTGCAAACTTTTTGTGGAACTTGCAGTTGTGTGGTGAGTGTGATCTCTCCACCGCTGTCTGTCACTCCTCCGAGCAGGGGCTGGGCCCATGGTAAAAGACCAGGTGGTGTTTCTCTTACAGACAGGAGAGAGAGTGGAGGGGAGACAGATACAGTGTCTGAGAGTTGACGATGGCTGCACTCGATACACTGCTGTACATGAAAGCTGTGTGACAGCTGACGTAAAACAGTATCGATTGGGCTTAATATAGGCCTAATGGGCTGCAATTGTCTGGTTGAAGACTGGAAGGAATATTATTTTTACAAACATACACTTTGCTTTACAGTTTTTTCTTCCAAAAGTGCATCAAATGCTAGCTGTTGGTTTCTTATGGGGTAAGCTTTCTTGTTTAGTGCAGTACTGTACCACTGACAGTGAATATTGACAGGATGGCACTCGTGTTCAGACAACTGTCATGCCGAGTCGTCGATATGCCGACACTTCTTGTGATCTCTGGAATCATGGACTATCTGCCTCGCTTTGTTAGTGATTCTCTGTCTGCCTCTCCTTCCTGGTTGAGCACATTGTCTCTCTGTGTCTCTCGCTTCCGCTGCAGTGATCATAAGGAGTCATTGCAGCTGTTTGTTTATGGTGCGTAGCCTGCTGTGTGTCAGTTTGAGACAGCGATTTAAGACAGCTACTCAATGACGAGCTCCCTCACGCAAAAAAAGGGTCTCAATGGAGCTCGGGTGGCGATCGGCTTCATGTTAAAGAGCGCATTCAATAGATTCTGTTTGTTCTTGTCTAACATTGCAATTGCACGGTAACATTTGTTCTTTCTTGTGTTGTGCAAGAGGTCGTAATCTCTGCTAATATAGGACTCTGCGTACTCGACTGAATGATTTTCTCGCTTGGGCCGGACACTCTCCGAAGGCAACTTTGTACCAATCTTTGAGAACGTGTGTATGTGTGGAATGCGAGGGCTTGGAAGCTGGTGTGTAACTCATGTAGCATTACCTCCCACTATAACTTCATAGCGGGTTCAATCTCCCTTATCGTATACTGGAAATCTAAAAACTCATGTATGCGTGCCCATTACAAACTGTGTTACGCGTTCTCTCATGATTTTTGCGCAGGTATATCTTTAGTTATTCAACTAGTGCATGGAATTTTGGATATATTATTAGCTTGATTATACAAACTGTCCTATATACGCAGTTTTTGCCACTGCCTTTACTCTCTCGCTGTTCAAATTCCTGGAAGATGTCTGTCTTAGGGTTTCCCATGTCCTATGTCTGTTCAATTTACTGGACTTCATGCACTCTATAGTTTATCACGTTTAACACTCTAGCGTCATCCAAGTAAAAACTCTAGACATTATTTAATGTTTTGAACAACACAAGTATGATACTGATTTAAGAAGAATCCGATTAATTCGCTCAGTGGGTACCATTTTGCGGAGGCTGGTATTCGGAGAATGTTGGCGTGTTTGTTGAGTTGGTTAATTATGGGTGGATGGTATCTTCCTTTCTGTACTGTCGATACAGGTGGGACTCAATTAAAATATCAATTATTAAACTTTCACTTACCCTAAGCGTTCTCTGTATTTGGACTGGTATAGCAAGTGTTCCGCGCTGCGGATAAATGTCGTTAAGACTTACTCGATGTATAGATATAGCGCTCAGATAACAGGACATGCATTCAATTAAATTGGTCCCATGCCCTCTTAGTAAGTTCAAGTGTGAATAAATCGCGTTTTATACTCTATTCACACTCAAGTTATGTTGTGTTAGCTTGTGCATCGGTTCGAATAAAAATATGCACTAGTCTCCGTTTTCTGTACGTATCTTGTTTATCACTTTGTGATTGGCGTTTATCATTCCTAGCAACCACACACTTAAGCACAAAATTCAACTACCAAGTCGATGTGTTAATGTTTTAACTCCTTATGGTCATTTGTTTGTTAATTAGTTTATACGGTTCTTTCTAGGTTTAGTTGTAGTGGTGTGAGGATTTCTGTCAGAAATATAATTATGACATACAACTTTTTCATCTATTGTTTTAAAGAATCGATTTAAACTAGGTATCACAGATTTGGGATTCATACCAGTTTTTTATTCCATTTTTGACAGCCGTTTTTATTTATGTATGTATTTTGATTAATGAACAGCACTTTTGATTACCTCTTTCCTTTTGTTCCTGAGATCATTGTGTGTGGAGAAATATAAGATGAGATTAGTTTTTACATTTTATGGTTATTTTTGGTTTAATATTGGGAGATAAAGTGTAATTTATAAATTTCATGATTTTGTCCTATCTGCACATTGATTTACATTGAATTTCTCGGCTTTAAGGTTTGGATAGTTGTTTTCCTGGGGGATCATGATGTTACGTAATGGCCTGTTATGAGAGGAGTTTGAATATTATAACAAAGTTTGCAGACACAAAAATGTTTAATAAGGACAGAATTCAGTGTAATTCATCTTTGATGAAACATAGGGGGTCTTTCTGTGGACAAGTACAAGTGGGCTTAAACACCTTAGTTTGGGATGTGAAATTATTGAGTGAGGATAATGTAGGCTCAGAGTATTTTTTATTGTCGTTTAGATTTCAAGCTTATTCTTTGGCTACGCATTTATCTGGGTACTTATTGGTGAAAAGGGACTGTCTTGCAATCAGAGTTGCTTTATTGCGAGGCTGTAGTGTTTTTCATTTCTTCACGCCCTCTTTAGTTTGTCAGATGTGGCCTGGCTGTGTTCAGATTTTATGTACTTTCTTTGTGACAGAACCAAAATAGACCAGCTATCACA